TCTCTCTCTCTCTCTCTCTCTCTCTCTCACACACACACACACACACACACACACACACGAACGATTCATTCCGATTTTGCTCAAAAAGTGGCAGTGTATATTTCCACGTTTCAGCGGAAGATTCATTCCGTTTTTGCTCGTGAGAGAGAGAGAGAGAGAGAGAGAGACTATCCGACCTCGCGGCTCGCGCCATGCCACTTCCATCGATAGGATGAGCAACATCCAATGAATCTTCGGCTAGAACATGGAAATATACACTACCTTACACCTTTTTTTACGACAAAGAGAATCTCAAGATATTCAATGTAACTAGACAAGCTGCAAAAAAGAACATAATAGTTCCAGAAGTGTACACTTTTGATAAATCTAAGCTGTGCCCTAAATCCCACAATAAATGTCGAATTCCGTTGCTCATATGATAGCATAGTGCTAAGAAAGCTAAATTTTGAATATGGCCGAAACGCATCATGCTACTTCCAGCGATAGGATGAGCAAAATCGAATGAATCTTTCCCTAGAACATGGAAATATTCACTACCTTGTTGAACATGGCCGACAAAACCGTACCCAAAAGAGAGCCCGTTCATTAAGTGGCGCCGACACCAACACCCCCCCGGCGCGGCGCGAAAAAAAACGGTAGCCAAGAAAGAGCCCGTTGTCCACCCGCAGGCAACCCGACTCGGCCCTGGCCTCACCTGCCTCCACACCGCTGCGCCGACCTGTCTCATCTGGTACCGTCCCCCTGCGCCCCCAGACCGCCCGTCGACCTGCCTCCACATGGCTGCGCCGCTCAGGTAGTGCCGCGATCACATCTGGGACCTTGCCTCCACCACCGGTGTCTCGCGTGGGCCCGTCACGTGAGACCCGCGTTTTCCTTTAGGGTATTAGAGAAGTTGGAATATTCCGCTGTTTCCAAAAGTCGTTTGTTTTGTTCACAAACGATACGGGAAATCCCTCTGACAGCTACTATTTTCCAAAACTGCGCATACTCACATCTGAGTAATTCCGATTATTTTTTTTCTATTTTCTTTTCGGAATTTTATTCGCAGTTTTGTGTTTTTTTCACTATCTGATAATCATTGGCAGTCTGAAGTCGAAATTTTTTCTCATGTATATTTCGCACTTCAGGGGGAATTGGGAGACCTACCGAACTTGCAAACGATTTTTTTTGCAAAGTTCAAACTTTTCTTTTTGATTACTGCCTCCTTATCTGGGCGATTTATTCCACCCACTCCTCCCCACCTATGTTGTTGCCCCTCTGGTCTTATCTTCTCTATCTGTCTCCGGGTATCCCCTGCGGCAGCATTGGTGAGTTGCCATGTCAGCGGGCCATGCCAGCAGACCACGTCAGCAGGCCACGTCAGCAGGCCATGTCAGCAGGCCACGTCAGCAGGACACAGCAGCCGAACAAGTGCCACGTCAGCAGCAGGGAATGCCAGGACAGCAATCCTCCGGTCTGATCAATGCTCACGCGCTTACAAACAGCCGGCATGGATCAGAAGTCCGGGGAAACGGACGAGGCCTATCAGGCCCGAGCAGGGACCAGCATCAGCCCAAAGTGGCCGTGGTCGCGGCGGCATCGCCGACCGACCAATCCAACGAGGCCGTGTCTGCCAATGAAGGGGACAGACTCGCAGCCGCCCGAGATGGTGGCCGCTCCGGCAAAAGGCGAGGACGCGGCAAGATGAAGACAAACACCGCATTTATCCCCGGGCCCCACAGCAGCTTCAGCCCCATGGACCCACTACGGCCAATCGGGAGACTGAGCACCGCCGAGAGGGACTCGACGACACTCTCGACGTCTTCGGAACCGGTCTCTTGGCGAGTGGCCGGCCTTCGTTCCGAGGCACATGCGGAAGTCGATACTCCTCTTCTATATTCTTATGAGGAATATGCTGCCCGGCTCGTTCCTACGCTGGGTTCTCATGCTCAAGGACAAGACGTGTCTGCGGCATCTTCTCCGTCCGGCAGCGGTGACTTATCGTCTTCAAGTGGTTCTTCACGGGATTCAGCGCGCGAGTTCAACATAGAGGTATTGGACCCGCTCACGTCTGGGGATTTCGCATGGAGGTATGGGATGCTGGGCCCCGTTCCCAGCACGTGGTGCTCCCCACGAATAGATTGGAGGTTTTGCCCCAGGGAGAAAAAAAAAAAGAAAAAAAAAAAAAGAGACCACACACAGTCAGATGGTGAAGAATTGTGTTCTAGCCCAGTTATTATTCATTGTCTGCTTGCAAATATTGTTGACCGGTCGGTTACGACTGTGTTGATGTTGGTGTCTAATGTTTTTCTGGTGGTGGTCCCAAAATCCATGCAATCCAACGCAATGCTTGTTGCACAGGTGCTGCAGCCCATCAAGGTCGAAGTTTTGAACCATGGAGATTGAAGGGAGGAGCTGACGTAACGTCTGCACCAATTCTTGCCAGGCTGTCTGCAACAGCAGCCATCCTTCCAGCCCTTGAGACAGCACAAGACAAACTTGGCCCATCGTCTTCACGAACTGGTGTTGCAGACGTCCTCGAGAAGTGGGGTTTCTCACGAGTTGAGGTCGAAGAGATCCGAGAACGATTAAGTGACCTGGTTGTTGGTTATGGAGGGGGAGAGGGAGACGAGGGCGATTTCATGGACTTCGAAGATGACTAGCTAGGTAAGCCTCACGGTGAACATCGTTGTGCGCATATTTCCATTGTTATCTTCCTGCCAGGTATTAGACGACCAGTACCTTTCTCTGCTATCGATGCCGAGCCTAAAACTGCCCTGCATGCCAAAAAAAAACGAACCAGTGCGGGCCTCGTTTTGGCTGGCGCCACCAGCCATTTTGCGCCGTAGTCCCGAGCCTGCCCGTCTCCCGTCTTAACCGGCGGGCAATTATTTTTCAAGCAGGGACAGGTACTGGTGTAACTTGTAAGCCCTAAAAG